GGACGTCCTCCAGGTAGCCCAGGTAGTAACAGTCGAGAGGGACAAAGGGGTAGTCCACCTGCAAGGCCCCTGGTCATCCTGAGTCATCATCACCAGCTGTCCAGGCCAAAAGAGTCTCTTGCGCCGCATGTGGAGGACGTGTCTCTGGCCCCCAAACCTCAGGCTGTAGGAGAGCCAGCCTGCTGCCCGCACGGCTTTGCTGTGGTGCAGCTCCTTCGTGGGAATCACCACCTCGGAGGAGATGTAGCGCCAGGAGGGGCGACCTTGAGAACACTGGGTGGGAGCCAGCACCACCCAGAGCCCAAGCAGCAAGAGGGGCGTCCTCAGGGTGACGGGGCCCCCTGCCAACCTCATGCCCGTGGTGGGGGAGAACCGTCGATGTGAACGGAGAGAGGGAGGGTCCTCAGTGAAGCCTGGTCCGCACCATCTGCTGTGGCCACTTCCTGCCAAGGGCATGATGACAGAAAACCCACCCTGGCTGGGTCAGCTGAGGCGACAATGACAGGGTGTGGCAGTGGGTGGGGCTGGACCGGCATTCAGCTGGGGTGGAGGTGGGGGAGGTGGGAACCCTGTCTGTGGATGCTGAGGTGGAAATAAGAGATGTTAACGTAAAAAACCATTGAAACCTGTAAAGAATTTTTGTGAGTTTATTTGAGCCAAACTGTCGACATATGCCGGGAAGCAGAAGCTCAACGAATTGAGATAGTGCTCCGGAGAATGGCAGGGTTACATCCATATTTATACATGAAATTCATTGGTGACAGATTTAAGGGGGTGGGATTAAGCGAAGCGGGGAAACCTCTGTGATAGGATAAAAAGTAAAATGATGGGCACATACTTAGGTGGGTGCAGGAAAATTTAACATGACAAATGAAAGAATCTGCTGCATCTGTCCTGGGCCCAGCACACCTGGTTGTGCCCCAGGGGCTCCATAAAAAGGGAAGTCACAAGTGACCCAGACATCCCAAGGACATGTTATCATAGATGCAAAAAGACAGATAGGCTCAGTTACGGTAAAGGTTGACCTTATCAGTGAAGATATCGGCTTAGAACGTAAATGCCCACCATAACTGCTTTTAGTTAAGGTTTTATTTCAGACCATCCTTTGTGGTTACTTTAGGTCTCCGAGTCAGCAAAACTGCCATGCAGGCCTCTCCTGAGCTTGTCAGGTCAGCATGTGGCCCCTTTCGTCCACAGAGACAAGGAAGCAGACCCATGTCTCCATTGCATACATGTCAGGCTTCTCTCTAGCTACTTGCACACATGTTATGTAATTACAGCAAAGTTAAATTCCCTACTGTTGCCCTAACCGGTTTGGCTCAGTCGATAGAGTGTCGGCCTGCGGACTGAAGGGTCCCAGGTTCGATTCTGGTCAAGGGCATGTACCTTGGTTGCGGGCACATCTCCAGTAGGCGGTGTGCAGGAGGCAGCTGATCGATGTTTCTCACTCATTGTGCTGTGGACCAACATTCGCAAGAATAAGACCACCAACTCCAATTAGGTCTTAAACAGCAAGCGAGGATTTATTGAGCTGCCAGCGTCCGCCACAGGCCCCTCCTGTAACAGCCCCGAACTTGGTGCTCGGCGAGCTTTTATTCCCAGAAACCACAAACGTCCTTGATTTACAGTTACAAGGCTCGAGTCAGGACCTTCGCGCAAAGCTGTCTGGGAGTGGGAGACTTGGAGTTATGCCTGGTTACCTATCTTTGACCCCATCCTTGTTAAAATTTTTTACTGACATTCAATTCATCACAATCGATGTTTCTAACTCTATTCCTCTCCCTTCCTCTCTGTAAAAAATCAATAAAATATATTAAAAAAATAAAAAATAAATTCCCTACTGTCGATGAAATGGCCACATACTAGCCTGACAGCTCAGGGGAAGCCTGCGTGGTGGCCTTGCAAACTCAGAGACCTGTAGTAGCCACAAGGGATGGTCTGAACTGAGAACCTTTTCATTGAAAAGCAGTTTGTAGTGGGCAGTCATGTCCTAAGACAGCATCTTCCTTGACAAAGGTCAATCTTTACCTTAACTGAGCCTATTGTCTTTTTGCATCTGTGATAACATATCATTGAAATGTCAGAGTAACTTGTAACTTCCCCTCTTCCAGACCCCTTCAGGCCACAACCAAATGCCCTGGGCTCCAGGACAGCAACCACAGATTCCTTCATTGTTATTGTTTTTTTTGTTTGTTTGTTTTGTTTTTTTAATATTTTTTTTATTGATTTTTCACAGAGAGGAAGGGAGAGGGATAGAGAGTTAGAAACATCGATGAGAGAGGAACATCGATCAGCTGCCTCCTGCACATCTCCCACTGAGGATGCACCCGAAACCAAGGCACATGCCCTTGGCCGGAGTCGAACCTGGGACCCTTCAGTCCGAAGGCCGACGCTCTATCCACTGAGCCAAACCGGTTAGGGCCATTGTTATTGTTATCATGATAGTTGTTGCCTGTAAACTATCCAATACCCAGTTAAAGAAGCAAAAGAAATTTTAAAAAGCATGTTTCCATCATTTCACTTTTTATCCATTCCCAGAAGTTGCCCCCCATCTCACCATCCTTTGCTTTCTCCTGCCTCCCAAATCGATCACCAATGGATTTCATGTGATTCACGAAGCTCTCCTCCTTTGATTGTAATGTATGGAGCAAGGTGAAAAAATGCCATTCTCCGGAGCATTATCCCAATCTGTTGAGATTCTGCTTCTCAGCAATTATTGAAAGTTTGGCTAAAATAAACTCACAAAGTTCTTTACAGGTCTGAATGTTTTTATGTTAACACTACCAACACTGTCACCATGAAGCAGCACTGCCCGGCGTCGAGCTCAGGAGACACCTGCCGCAGGGCAAAGCTTACAATGAGCCCTAGAATACTGGGCCTCAGTGTGAGAAATGTTGATCTCTGTGGATTGAAATAACGGGCTTGGAGACAAGAAGTATGGCAAAAACGAGACTTTTAACACATCTTTGAAAGAGAGGGTGTCGGGCTCTACAGGCACACGTGGAGTAGCCGTTACAGGCTATTTCTCTCTAGGGTGCAAAAGTCCCTCCTCTGGTTCCTCATTGGCTGAGTGCTATGGTGTTAACGGTTTTCCTCATATGTGGTCTAGGTCTCATTGTCTCACACTGGGCCATTAAAAAGAAAAAGGGCTACCCTAGCTGGTTTCACTCAGTAGGTAGAGTGTTGGCCTGTGAACCAAATGGTCCCAGGTTCGATTCAAGTCAAGGGCACGTACCCTGGTCAGAGTGTGTGCAGGAGGCAACCAATTGATGGTTCTCTCTGTCTTTCCCTCTCTCTTCCAGTCTCTCTAAAATCAAGGGAAAGCCCGGCCAACATGGCTCAGTGGTTGAGCTTCAACATATGAAGCTGAAGGTCATGGTCTAATTCTCCATCGGAGAACATGTCTGGGATGTGGGCTTGATCACCAGTATAGGGCGTGAAAAAGGCAACCGATCAATGAATCTCATCATTGATGATTTTCTCTCTCTCTCTCTCCTTAGAAAAAAGGGTGGGTGCCTGAAGCCTTTCCTAATTATCTCCACCTACCCATGTCTAGTTGAGGTAGGCTGGAGGTGTTTAGTCATGGGTGCCTCAGAGGTTTCCATTGTGATGCTGGCTCATGTACACAGTCCTTTGTTCTTGTATCTTCTCCCCTCCTCCCCACATTCTCTTTGTTCTGGGGAAATTCCATAACCAGTTCCATTAAAAGTTGACTATGCTGGAGATGGATCACAGAGGCCTAGTTCCTTCACTCAATTGCTGGAGGCTAAAGCAAACAGAGATTAGCATGAAAGTGCAGAAGAGACATTGGAAGGCCAATGAACTTTGATATTCAGCAGGGCTGAATATCAGCACAAAACTGCCCTGCTGTGGGCAAAATGGCTCGAGGCAATTTCTTGACCTGATAATTCTTACATTGTTTACCAAACTTTACCTTTGATCTGCCTGTGTGCATTGCTAAAGAGCAGATGTGTATTCAAACTGAATAAATAGGAGATGGTCCCTGGCCCAGTGTGCCTTTTCAGGAAAGAGGTCTCCGCCTGGCCCCCAATGCCTTCTAAATTCATATTTCTTCTATAGCATTTTCATTTCGGTGTCATTCCCTCCTTCAGATCCTGAACCTTGGCATGCGGGTCGCGGCAATTTGTGCCTCAAACAAGAGACTGAAGGAGCAGAATTGCCTGAGTGAAAAATGAAGTGAAAAATTAAAAGTTGGAAACTCACCAGAAAGGTGGAAATTCACTGGCGCACAAAGCCCGTGCCAGCATCAGAGTCGCGACCATAAGTGAACAGGGACGTTTCTGGAATCAGCCAGGTTATAATGGGGGCAGAATTTGAGTAAAAGGCAAACACATCATGGTAAATTTGTACCTTTCATGCTCAAGGATAAAGGAATTAAGGTGTCAAAAGTTACTCTCTTAGATCAGGCTCAAGGAAGACGAGTGCCCTTGTCATCTTTAACTATGTTGGCTCTTGTTCAAACTGCATTATGCCCACTTCGTATTGAGGATCAAAAGCCTACAGACCCCAGGAGGATTTGCCACTGCCCCCTCCCTCCAACTAAGGTAGAGCCTATAACGCCCCCCAATCGTCCACCTCTGGTGTGGGAAGGCTCATCAACTAGAAAAATGGGGCTAACAGTCAATTTAAAAAGGGACTCTAACGCTTTGTCTGAAAATCACCATCTGACGCCTTGGAACTGGCAGATTTTAGCTCAAACGACTTTAGACGCCAGTCAATGCTGTGGAGAGCAGAATATGATAAGATCTGTGAACAACAGACTGAGATCTGGGCCGCATCTGGCTGTAAGTCCCAGGCAATCTGAAAGAGCCATGAAAAGAACTCTGTTTTATTAAGTCTTGTCTATGTGTTATGCGAGCTTGTCTGTTGATTGTTGTTTTACCTGTCTTTGTTGTTTGGTTTAATTGCTTATTGTTAGTCTATTGAGCAGGCCTCTAATTTATCTTCATAGAAAAGAAACAGTAGGTGGCCAGGCCATTACTGACTTTCCCCAGAGCAAACAGGATGTGGGGATGGGAAGAGAGAGTACCAGCGGAACACGTGGCCAATAGCACAGGTCCTAGAAAGATTCCCCGAGACAAAGGGAGGTAACTAAAAAAAGGCTCCAGCCCATGAATTACTAGGTCTCTTAGTGATCCTGTGAAATGGACACCCGCTCTTGGAAATGTAATTAAAAGTCTCATTTTCCTCATGTTTTTGTTTCCCAGTCCGTCCTTTGAAATATAAATAGATCAGCCATTTCTCACAATCTGGGAAATGCGTCTGGGACTTCTATACCCATGAAGAGAAAAAGGTTAGTTTAAGGGGGAGGTGACCCACCCGATTTTCGGTAG